TACGAGATATGGAACTTTTTGGTTAGTCCATTGCTGCTGCACATTCATACTTGAACTGATGTGATGATTCGAATTTCGTGAATTGATAGACTCAGAATCTTCCTCCTTCCAGTTGTGACGATTGTTTGAATGACGATATGACTCAAACCCTAGTCTTAACATAATGTGTTGCAACGATTTATTCTGCATTAATGTGATCCACTAAGGAAAAAGTATGTTTAGAAGTGTTTAGGTCCGCAAAGGAAAGCAGTTCATTCCTCTAATTCAAACGCACCAAACATCGAGTCTCTTTCCCATTCGGTCGTTCACACCTTTTTCGCTCTGTTTGTAAGTGTTGACGCGGACGGTTCGCATTTGCTGCGTTAGAGTGCATGAACGGATAATCCTATTATAATTCGTTAGTGCTAGGATCTGCCAATGGATTAGAGTTTGCGTCACAAACGAATTGCCGTTAGTCGTATTTGTAAATTATCAGAGTGATATCGTTGCTGGGCATTACTTCCACTATATTAAACCTTGTTCCTTCATTTGCTCAGTGTGTTCAGATCCAATACTGCAGCGCCGATGTCATCCAGCATACGGAAGTCCGTTTGATGTGTTAGGCGAGTATCACAGATTCCATGTCCCAAAAGTTTTAAAGCGACGAATCTTTCATTACAGCTCCCTGTCATCGCCTCATGCTTGACGATTTGGATTAATTCCCACAACTGCACTAACTTCGTTCTTTGAAATTCACGAGTTTACCACTTTTCTTTTTTACCACTCCAAAAGCGAACGTTGTTGAGGAACAGGAGTACGAGCCTCGTCGGCGACAAAGAATCAGTTCTCCTCAGCGGTTAATAACATAAGTTTTACAGCTGAAAATAGTGCAACATGTTGTCACATCTTTGGCTCATACAACTCTGCATAGTCGCCGTGCTGTCGGCAAGCGAACGTGAGTCTTCATTTTAGTCCGATTGGATCTATACCTGCCCCAAATTTCATATTTCTCGATCCACTCAGCATTTGTCCTCTACAAGTAATTTCACGGTTCTCTCAATTTTCTCGATTCCACATGAATCAGCATTATGTTCTCTACAAGTCTTCTCAACGATGATAGGCAATAACGCGCTGAGGTAACAGTCGGTGATGATCACCGACTGTCACGTTAGTTGTTAAGCGATAGAATGATACTTCACGAAACAGATAATTGAAAACGAGAACTGAACAACGGTAGGAAAATGTCACCACGCTTTGCCGAGAGCCAATTCAAACTTCGTATCTGAAGATGAAGTTGTTAATGATGTCAGCCACAACTAAATTGTTGCACACACTTCTCCTCATAAACAATAATTATAAATTCATTGATGGCAGACGAAATTTCTGAATAAAAACGAACTTTAGGAGAGGAATTTGCGGAAAAGTGCCCAATGGTAAAAAATTTACCACTATCAGTACGAGAACAATGCATAGAAAGCCGTAAGTGACCATAACTGAAAAATTGCTCAACTGTGATGAATAATTAATTGTCTGGCTCGCGTAAAAAGTGTTAATATTTATTAAGCTGTTACATGTTCATACAATTCTGGACGTATAACATGAGTTTAAAAGCCTCTAATAGTGTTCCTGAAATGCTCTGATATAATAAAACATAGCTTCAACTATTCTTTTCTGAACAGTTAACATCCTCCACATGTCCTCTTCTCCGGTCAACTGTTGTAAAAAGCTCGTATGAGTGGAAAACGCGTCTCACTGGTGGACAAAACAGGGAGGTTCCTGACCTGAACGCCCGATCGGCATCATATTGAGATGGAGAAGATCACTTTATTTATTTCAGAGATGGTTATGCGCGACTGTAAGGAAAAAAAATATGGGGAAAACTGTACCGAATTGATAAAACAATGCGTGACCATAACTGGAGCACCTCCTGTTACTATTGGCGGAAGTGGACAGTATCGAATGGCTAGTTCTTTACGCGACTGTATCAAAGAGGGTCAGTGTTTTGGTTCGAATTGACCGAAGATCATTTCAGCTTCTCATATTGTGTTGTGATATCCATTTCAAATTTCTATGCCATTTCTTTTGTGTCAAACGGTAGAGCCCATTAAAAATATCGACGGATCCTTATCATCAACTTAAACTGCTAGAAACATCACTCATTTCTGACATTCCTGAAAGCTCAGCGCTCAACAAATGACTAGTGATTACGGAGAAGATGCAGATGCACTTGACTAGCAGAAAACTTCAATACAACAAACCACATCTCATTTTGATGGTACGATAACATTATTCAGTTTACGGTAGACTTTTTCAAACCAGACAATCGCTCATCACTTCACACGAATTTCGCGAAAATGTTGGGGATGAACTGGAGTTCTTCGCAAAATATAGATATTTAGGCATGAACAAAGTTGTCTTTAATCCATCTAATGATGCTCCGTNTTCTTACGCAGTGGTTCAAAAGAGACGGTTTATTGCACGTGAAAATTGCTTTTCTGAACTCTCCATCGAAATTCAGCGGGCATTTTGAACTCATGAGAAGTCGTACTTGCACTCATGAGGCTTCGAATGTGCAGCCTGGAATACAAATTAGTCTACCACTAGCTTGTCATTAACTCTTTCCAAGACTTTATTCTTTATTTTACCTCTTTCTTACACCCTCTACTAATGCCGGTCTCTCTCTCCAATTAATGCTCCAGTTAATGGTCAAGTTCACTTAATCGTTCATCAAAATGAATTTACAGGAGGCTATATGGGATACTGCAAAACGTTCACTACTGACGAGAATTGCATCAAATGGAAGGACGAATGCGCTCCCAGCGAAGCAGCTGAGAAAACAGATGAAAACTCCCTCGAAGTTTTCCCAGAAACTTTTTCGCAATGTTTCAAGTCACGTAAGTTATTTGTACCTGGCGTTACCACGTCATGATCGTGACCATAGCGACGTGAAAACGTTCAGTTTGACGATGATTCGTCGTGAACTCAAAAGAAGCCATAATACCCGCTTCGCCCCTCTTTTCGGTCTAAGCCTGAGCAGTTCCTGCAGTGTTCAAAAGCTGAGTAAAACGGAAGAGCACTACGCGAATCCATGAATAATCTTCTCGAGCATCAGTTTGCTTATATTGCGGATCTCTTGAACGCCTCAGTCAAGGTCACCAATTGCTAATTGCTGCATCAGCTGGAAACATTTTAATTGTATAATGTTGGGTGTTTCATGCAAGCTTTGTTAATAGTGAAAATGAACAGGAAATGGGAAGAGTAGGGCTCAAATATTGCCGTTCCGACCGTTATTTATGGAAACATTCATCACTCTGAAATTTTGTGCGCTTTTGGAACAACACCGTAAAATGAAAGAGAACAGCGGAATTCGTGAGAGTCGTCATAACACAAGTTTCTTCTAATTTGATAAGGAAACAGATGTGTTATCGTTTGATAGCTTCTTCACTTTTCCAGAAGTCGTGATGCAGCAATGTATGAGCAAGGGCGAGGAGGAATGCTCGAAGATACAAAAAGAATGCGTTGATGCATTTGGGACACCTCCTGTCACCTATGCCGCGAATGGTGGATATCAGATGGCCGCTCCTCTCCATCGTTGCATTGAAAACGGTTTGCAAATTCAGTGAAAATTTCATGTAAAGTACGGTGATATTATGTAAAGTACGATATGTAAGGTACGGTCACGTAAAGTCATATAAAGTAAAGCACATGTAAACCAACTAGCCTCATTATCATTTTATATATGCCTTTCTACTTCCATTGTGATCTAAAAAGCACTGGTATATGCACGAACAGCTGCAATTTTTTCGACGTCCAATATTCTTAAAAATAAGCAGTAAATATAACGCTCCGTATCACCGTTCGATCAAACAAGACGAGCATCACAAATGGACAGAGCAATGTGCATCTTGTCTCCTTAATATATTCGCTCATCCAACAATTTGAGTAGTCTCAAATTTCATTTTTCGGCTGTGGACCTGAATGGAATTGTGAGTGAATGAAACATTCTGGTAAGGAATTATATTCTGAAGATATGATGCACGGCGGAAATTTTGATAATGTGCGAATAACAAAGAGTAAAACTTTCAAAAAGATGTTGCATCCTAAAGAAGAAATAATACCGCAAAGTAGTATAGAGCGCAGCTTTCAAGGACAGGTTGCGTCCTGAAGAAGGACTTATCCTCATTTCGTCACGGACAATTTTACAGGAGGATGGATGAAGATGTGCAGCACTTGGATTAACGCGACTATTTGCGAAAGATGGAAGCAGGAATGCTCAGGAGACAAGGACGCTGAACTACCCCCAAATTTCTCCCAATGCATTCAAACACGTAAGTATTCTTGGACCGGATATATTTTAGAAATCTGAGGAAATAACTGTGAAATAATACTTTTGACCGTAGACGAGAAGCTTTGATGAACGTACCTACCTACCAGGCAAGAAATTCTAATTTGATCCGGGCGAATGGAAATTCTGCCCGCTGGAATGGTGAACATTTTAATCACAGGACTGAATTATACTGAAGTGGAGCCATCTAAATGGAATAGAAACTACGTGTAGATAATATCATTCCAGAAATGGTGATGCTGCAGTGCAACTTAAAATTCGGAGATAAATGCAAAGCTTTGCAAGA